ATGGGAATGCGATAGTATGTGCAATTTAACTACCTACAAGGCCTAAGTAATTTACATGGGGAAAATATTGCAATTGTAAATAACGAAAAGCGACCAAAACTTACCAGTGGCAATATATTTGCTCTTAAAGAGTTTCGCACTCTCTTCGACGTCAGTTCTTTCCGTGGCCGTCGAGCCGCCATAGTTTTTGTATACAAAAATTCTTCGATTACTATAAGGTTTTCATTCGTTCAGGAGTAGATGAAATGAGAACGAAATAGGACGTCTACATTTCCTTTATTCATTAATAAAATGTTTAGCTTTTATGTATTTGCATATAGGAACAACAATTTGGGACTTTGGTCATCATTATCACTATCATCACCATCCTGTGATCATCATCACCACCATCATCATCACCACCATCATCATCACCAACATCACTACCATCACCACCACCACCATCATCACCACCATCATCACCATTATCACCATCATCATCACCATCATCATCACCAACATCACTACCATCACCACCACCATACCACCATCATCATCATCATCACCATCATCACCATCATCATCATCACCATCATCATCACCAACATCACTACCATCACCACCACCACCATCATCACCACCATCATCACCATTATCACCATCATCATCACCATCATCATCACCAACATCACTACCATCACCACCACCATACCACCATCATCATCATCATCACCATCATCACCATCATCATCATCACCATCATCATCACCAACATCACTACCATCACCACCACCACCATCATCACCACCATCATCACCATTATCACCATCATCATCACCATCATCATCACCAACATCACTACCATCACCACCACCATACCACCATCATCATCATCATCACCATCATCACCATCATCATCATCACCATCATCATCACCAACATCACTACCATCACCACCACCACCATCATCACCACCATCATCACCATTATCACCATCATCATCACCATCATCATCACCAACATCACTACCATCACCACCACCATACCACCATCATCATCATCATCACCATCATCACCATCATCATCATCACCATCATCATCACCAACATCACCATCATGACAATACATTTTATTACTTTTTAAGAATACTTTAATGCCTGAACTGTATGACATGGTAAACAGATTCAAACCAGAATATATTTGGTCAGATGGAGATTGGGAGGCGAAGGACACATACTGGGGAAGTACA